AATATATATATATATATATATATATATATATACCGAAAATATTATAGAAAATCGTTCTGATACGTGTGTAAATTTTACAGTAGATCGTGGTATAAATTGGAAATATTCACGAGCGATTTAACGCACCATTTTATTTGCTACAATGCTTAATCTTTCTTTTTACGTGCCAATAATTTACACCTGTTCAATATTTCCCACGTGTATTTCACTTGTATTTTCGAAATGCGTTATTTTAGATCAGCTGTTGAACAGACGGGGTAATATAACTCGATCGTTAATCAGTTATTTTCGAGCAAAAAAGATCAGCCATTGTTGCACAAGTAGAATAAATCAATCATGCACAGATAGTAGTATAGGTCAACCGTTTGTCGGGCAAATAAATTGAAACCGTGTTGGTTGGAGTTAATTAAAAAGTAAGAAAAAGTAAGTGGTTAAAAATTTTAAAAAGTTACTTATTTAAATAATTGCTATTGTTAAAACACCAATTGATCTATTTTTCATATAACCTCGATCGTTTTGTACTACAAATTATTTACGATTATTGTTACGTTTTGAACAATAAATTATTGAAGCAACTTATCGAAGTAACTTTAATTCAATTACTATTAAATTTTGCTCATCTACTAATTGAAACGATCATGCAAGTGGTACAAGTCAATCATTTTCGATCAAAGAAGAAAAGGACAATCGGAAGACGAACAATATCGACTCGTGAAAAAAAATCTGATTAAAAATTAATATATTAAATTTCTCCTTCTCTCGATGTTCGAAATTTTTTTTATTCAAAGAATTTTTTGCTACAAAAGATAAAAATATAACGAGCTTCCTATACACGTGCAGTCTAGCGACGAAAATAATTTGGCCGACCGAAAATAAAGTGGTATTCACATTCGACAGCATTGAAAATGACAAGCCTCTCCCATTCAAACTAATACCCTCAATTTTAATTATTCCTCTTTCCAATCTAACCTGAACTCTTCCTTCACAAATTTTCCACCAGTTCCTTTCTCTCCACTTTTACAAAAAACAGATGAACATTTGAATGAAGATCAAAAATAATTTTAATAAAAAAAAAAAAAAAAAAAAGAAATCGTTTTGAAGGTGCATATTCACGAAATCCAGAAAAATCCATTGATTCGTCGTAACTGTGCATCCATATTCAGGCCGCTCGAAATAGTATATCAGGAAGTGGGTGTAAAGCCGGATTCTCGAATCCAAGGGCCACTGCCGCCCGTTTCAACGCTCGTTCGAGGCCCCTTGCGAATCGTGGAATTTGCACGAATGGCACCGGTTATTCTTATCGTGCAATTTCCACGCTTCTCGAGTAAGTGGATGGACCATCACACTTTCGGCTTGTTTGCGCGCTTCACCCTCCTCCTCGATTCTCTTTTAATCCTCTCTTCTTAACAGAGAAAGAGAGAGAAAAGTGTTACTCTCTGTTTCCTTTTGTCTCGTGTTGCAGAAAAAAAATTATACACATCGCGTTTGGATTTTGTTCATTCACTACTTTTTCTAAAATGATAAAAACAAAATAAAAATATTTTACAAATATGGAGAGACGCAAGTATTAAAAATGAAACTGTCAATTTTGATTCAAATAGTATTTTGGGATGAATGTACAATGATGTGAAAGATAGGGGGTGATTAATTTTCAAGGAACTTGATGTGAAATATCGTTTTGTATGTCTTCCTTTTTCTTTTTTTTTTTTTTTCTTAAACTTGAAAATTTATAAATGAAAGGCGATTATTAATAGCAGCTATAAGAATTCTATTCGTTTCTATTTCGATTTATCGTTTCCGTTTCTTTGTTGATTTATATTATAGTGTGATGTTGCTTCTCCCTTGATTTATCGTTTTTATCGGTTCTATTTTTTTTTATCGATTTACTGTTACTTCACGATTTATTATCTTTCAATATCGACTTAAATATTTTCGAAAAATATTTCGAAAAGAATTGGGTTTTGAAATTTTTCCATTTCGATCCATCATTTATATCACTTCGTTTAAAATATCTACTTCCAACGATTGTCGATATTTTTATAAAATAAAATGAGATTAGAATTGCAAAGAATCGAAGAAAAAAAAAATCTTCGTTTCTCATAATCTGTTTCTATATTATATTATATTATAATAATTGCCTCGATAACAAGATGATTAAAATTAATAATACGAATTGGTTGTTTTATTGCACGAGTCAACAACAAACAAGTGCATGCGTTATTTTTTTTTTTCGAAAAGAAAAAGAAATCGATATTTTAAATATAAAACGCGTGCTCCACTCGCGATGTTACGTGATTGCAATCAGGTCAGATTGATTAATTTTTCGTATCTTGAACTCGATGGAGGCTAATCGACTGGCGCGAAAAACAAATTGATTCGTTTCACCGATTAAGCATCTCTCTTCGAACAATCGTTCGATAAAATTTGCAGCCAATTAATTTTACAAAATTACGATCCATAATTTATTTATATATATCGACGTCTTCCTTTATCTTCGTTAACATTAAATTGAATTTAATCTTTTCAAATTTTCCTCCATATTCGAAAATACGAATCTTATTGACGAGTGTAAACATTTTTTGATTTTGAACCATTCGAAATTTATCGAACGGAACGAAGAAAAGGAAGATTTTCCCGAATTTTCCGGAACTTGAAATGGCCAGTTTTATCCAGTGTTAACAAATCCTTGGGGAGGGATGGCCACGTGGTTTCAGGGGAAAAGTGAGTTTTCCTCGATAGTTGGCGAGAACAATTAAATTGGTTTAACCCATCGACCTAATTTCGAGGAAGGATTATTAATTGAATGCATTATAACTTGAACCAGTGTCCTGTTTCTATTAGATATCTGACCATTATCAGAATCTGCTTGGGATAATTCGTTTATTAAAAGTAAAAGGGATGGAAGGAACGAAAGAATTTTACTCAAAAGAAGACATTTACAAAGAAATAGTACATCATTATGTTTTTAATAAAAATGATAGAACAAGCGAGAAAAGATGGATCAATTGTTTGAGAAATTATTGGTGGAAGAAGTAGCGTAGATCAATCATTGGTTGGAACAGTAGAAAAAAAAGCAGACGAGTGATGGAATATAATAATTTAATTTAATTTTTGGTTTTCGAGAGTTTAAAATTGTTGTTAAAATACATTTTTGTCCAATGTTGTATCTTTTGCACAATGTGATATTTAAAATATATTTATATTATAGGATGAATTTCAGCCGTAAAATGGTCAGCCTGTTAATCATGCTACAATGCATCTATTTTATTATACACGTATTGAATTGAAGTGATATGGGTGGTTGCTCCGTGATAAATTGGTCAGCTTAGTGGTTACGGTAACCTGTCGATACATAGAAAATACATTTAATTAAATTTGCGAAAATATAATTATATTGCGAAAATTGAAATAAAAGATAATTAGAAAAAGAATCATGTGAGAACATGTGAGAAATATATCTATATTAATAAAAATTATATAGTATTCTATACTAATATGATACTATATTATAATGCTGGAACATTAATTGGAGAAAATAATAACGAGTAACTAAAATATACCATGGCGTAATGCATAAGTTCCCGGACTTCGAATCTAAGGATCGTGTGTTCGAATCCATGTATTGTTGTTCTTCATTTTTTCTCGTTTTTTCTGTACTACATTAGTATTATTTATACTAATACTAAAATATATTACGATACTAATAATATAAATTATCATCATAGCTCAGATTTTTATTATTAATATATTATCTAATAATACTAAATTACATTGTAATAACTATATGATATATTAGCTATTTAATACTAATACAATTAATTATTACACTGGTATTGATGATACAACTGGTATTAATTTACTACATTAAAAACGTAAATATGTTGCAGGTGGATCGTGCGGAGAACGAGGAGGGCCAGGGAGGGGGTGGTCTGTCGACGTCTTCGGCGGGCTGCAGCGGTGCTTCCGGTTCGAGGATGGGCCCAGGGCCCGATTCCGGTAGCAGTGCTCCCTCTTCTGTTCCCCACTCACTGGCGACGTCAAGAGACGACGAGGACGACGAGGACGAGGAAAGTAGCGGAAGACGTTCCAATGGACACACAGGAACGCGGTGAGTCACTTCGATTCTTTACTTCCTCTTCACGTTACTTTTTAACCTTTCTCGATCGGTGTCTCCTTTGGAACGATATCCCTCTTAACAAACACAAAGCACGCTTCCTTGTACGTCGAGTGATGATCTAAAAAGCTCTAAGATGAAGAGCACGTTCTCGAGTTTCATCGAGGATTGCGATGGCTGAGCTTGTCGGTCGAGATTGCGTGGTCTCGATGTGTATTCAAGTTGATTGAAGATTGAGTGTAGGGTCGATTTATGATTACTTTTAGGGCTTTTTTGGCAACGATTATGGACCTTACGTGGCACTGATGATTATTCGTTTCTATGAATAATCCGGTTATGATTCCATCTCTCATCGATAGGAAAAAGTTCATCGTTAGAAATATTGCATTTTTCCTAATCCTGTTGCCGTTTTGCGATAATTCTTATTTTCGATCCTCGAAATATTGAAGAAAGAATAACATTCAATAATAAATATATATATATAAAATTTAAAAGATTCAACTCGAAGAGAAAGAGAAGAAATTAATTCGAAAGCCATGATTGCAGCAAGATCGAAGTAATTCTCGTCTATAATATTTTCTTATTCCTTTATTGTTTCCTCTTCTTCCCTTTCGAAAAGAGAGAAAGAAATGATAAAAGTGAATTCTAACGGGAAAACGTGTATCGTGGTAACACTTGGCCCGATAATTCGCACGAAGCACGAAACGCGCGGGAATTTTAATTCGAACGACAGATCGAGTCGAGTGGAAAATGAATTCGCGTGGAACAGGAAAGCTGTGGCAAGATAATATATTGCGAGCGATGGGAATGAAGGGTGTGCAGATATTGTGAAATTATTATTTTCGTTTCACGATATATTCGCACATATATTTGATTTCAAATATCTTCGAGAATTAAAAATGTTGCATTTTTAATAAATTTTTCGATAATTTTTAATAACAGGAAATTGGAGATATTTTATTAATGGTTTGTCAAAAATAGAAAAAGTATTTAACAGTTGCTGTAATAATGAACGATATACAGGGTGAAAAATTAAAAATTGTTGATTTTATGAGAAAAATGATTCCTTAGATGAAATTGTACAATTGCTTTAGTTTCGAAAAAAAAAATAAATAAATTTAAATACGTGAAACTTTTAGAAATGCGTTTTGTAAAAGGGTGAGAAATTTTCTTCAATGGTAAGTGAATGATGAAGAATTTTATTCATTTAATTAATTGTTATTAATTTATGTAGGACAGTATTCATATGACAGTTTAATAAATTTCATTCGTTGAGCGAATGTGAAATGATAGACACATACTTAATTTAAAATTTGACAGTAAAGTTCCATTACTAATGGATTATCGATAACCGGTAACTGATATAAGTTATTAATCACACAACATTGTGTTCAATAATTATTAATTACCAGTTTCTATATGAACAAAATCAAAAATTAGTTTAAAATATCGTTTTACATCACGGTATTATTGTTAAATTCAATAAATAATAATAAATATATAATAAACATATATATAAAATTGAAATATCTTAAATTATATTAATATACGTACAATTCGTAATCACAAATCATATCTGGATAATGGAAAACGCGCACGACAAATTATCTTGCAATTTTATACAAAATTCGAAGTAATATAAATGTTATGATCGATATTAGTCATATAATTCGTTCGTATTTATCGGATGGGATAGAAATTGCACGGGAACGTTAAAATTCCTTCGACTGCCCGAGGATTAAATTAAAGCTGGTTTAATATCGATATTCTGGAAGTAGTTCGTGTCATGGAAATCAATTGCGAGCACTTTTCGAAGCGAATTGCCTCGATATGAAATTGAATTATTAACAAAATCGCATTTATCGATGCATATAATTAACGTGAAAAAGATTCATTCTTAACAAAATTGCCATTAAGATTAATCAAATTGGATTTAAAACTTGATTCTATCTAGCAGTATCAAATTCAGTCTCGAAATTTAAATTTTAAATTATTATAAATTAAATTTTTAACCGACAATGAATTTTCAATTATTAAATAATATATAATAAAATTTTGTATTGACGTATCGTAAGATTATTATTATTATTATTATTATTATTATTATTATTATTTCGAAAGATATTGAACACGAAACGATAGATATATATACGATCCTTTCAAAAAAGCAATTTCACGTAAAGTGTGTATCACGAAAAAACGTGGGGGAAACTTGTCAAGATTGGTGACACGTTTTGTGCCATGGCCCCTGTCAGGGATATCACGTACACGTAGTTACGTGCCTGTTAGCTTGTCTCCATCGTGGAAGGAAGGTGGAAAATCTATGTTATGAGACTTTTGCTTTCATAAGCGTGGCATGAAAGTGAGCTACATCCACGATGAATATTTGTGAAAATTGAAGAGCTCGACGCATCCTTGACATTTTCTTCTTCGAATATTAATGTAACGAAGTGACGAGAGAATATGAAATGAAAAAGAAAAATTTCTATAATCGCGTTAATTCAATTCACATTCACGAAAACAATGGACAATCTTCGAAAGATCAATTCTAGACGTCGAAACAAGCAAAAAAGTTGATGTACCAAAATGTCGATTGGATTGTATTTTTCGAGTTGGGCGTAATTTAATTTTAAAGCAGGAACGCCTGTACGTAGGCAACCGGCCCATCGATCAGCCGAGCATGGCTTGGATTAGACCGGTTGCCTATGTACAGGCGTTTCTATTATAATATTGCTCCTGTTAGTGTTATTTTAAATACTTGTTTGATTGAAATTTTTTACCTGGTGTATTTAACATTAAGATACGTTGTAAAAAAATTTTTGTATCCACCGAGAATCAAGAATAATTAATAAAATTGACGTCTTGGTGCTTCAGCCAAAAGTAATCCCACAATCTTCTTTGCATTACTCGTCTAACTTGTCCAAGTTTTTTAATGCCATTAATAGGATCTAATAACGTCGATGCTGCAAATGGCACGCTAATTACCTTCAAACCAATTACATTTTATTACGTTCGAGTGCGGCGAGATATGCGGTTTGCCTTGCTTTGATGCTAACCATCCTTTTTACGGCCAGCTAACCGTCCTTTCTACAATTCTCATCACTTTCTGCACACAACTTTAAATGAATCGAAAGTTAGAATGAAAACGACACGAAAATTCGATGGTTTTGCAATTATTTATTAAACACATTATTGATATTAATATTAATCATTCTATTAAACTTTCATTAGATATAGAAGACGTTTTAATATTTTAACGAGCAAAAATGTCTTATGTACGTTTTTGAATCGTTCCAATACACAATTTGTCACTTCCTGAGAGAATTTAATTTTTTCTTCTTCAAACACGATGACAAATTAATCTAAACATATCTAATATTATAATCCTAACTAAATGTATATTAAGATTAAATAAAAAATAGTATTTTGCAATCACAATACAATAATATATCTATTCGAAGTAGGCAATAAATATATTATTTATCGAGGAAGGATTTAAGAAGATTTGACGGGAAATCAAAAGAGATTAGTCATTTCCTTCCCCTGGAAAATGCGTTTAATTACCTCGTCTACGTTGTTACGGTTTAAATTGTAATAAGGGTATACCATCTGGGATCTTTAATCAAAAGTCGGGCTCTCGAAAGACTTTGCAACAATTCTCCTCAACTTTGATTTAAGCTAGCTCTCTCTCTCTCTCTCGATACTCGAATGAGAAGTCGGCTTTTGCACAGTCTTACCAAGGACTTGGACTTCTTGAAATCCAACTGTTACTTGTTACGTTTGTTCAATATCTATTTTTCTTCGATTGTATAATATTTTATTTCTCTTATTTTACGTATAATATTAGTTTTTTCAGAAAGATAAAAAAATAGATTTCATGATGATAAAAAAGGAAGCTAATTATAATTGTTAAAAAAAATTGGAAGAAATTGTTTGCCATTCTCACTCGTGTATCTAGAAGTAATTAATTAAACTGCCACAAAATCAGTACTCTAAAAAAATTAAGAAAGAATCAAGTAACAATCGATAAATTTCAATTCCACATTTAACAAATATATATACATACATTGATAGATTTCGAAAGAAAGGACTCGATCGGTAACGATGGACGCGTTAAAAATTATAGTAAATTTATGAAAAATTATCGAGTATATAATTTCTGAGAGATAGAAAATACATTTTTACGATTTTGTACGAGCAAGAACACAGTGTGACAGAAGAAATGCTCGTTCATTTCAAAATCGTCGCGGCAATGGAATAAATTTAAAAAAAAAAAAAACAAAAAAAATAAAATGGAAACACGCGTCCCATTTTCACACTAGAAATGACACAACTCGAGACGACAACACGATTCACTCGCTGTTAACGCAATTCCCATCTAAGCGACGTTCTCCAACAGAGAATGATAATGGATCGCGTGGCAATTAGAGCGAGAATATTTTTCCCGTGGCCGATGCATTTCACATAGAAAATTTCCTCGTTTTTCCGTCAGATTAAGGCCGCGCCAATTCTCATTCCCGTTTTTTCACCTCTTTTCCGCTCGATGCAACCGTGTTTGCAACCCGTCCATCGTTACCGACCGAGTCCTTTCTCGAAATCTCTCGATGAAAATTAATCAGCTGAAGGGTGAAGGGGGACATGAATTGGAAAGAAAACCGCACGACGATAAAGAGATAAAAAACGAGAAAAAATATTAATTGGTTGGATTTTGAAAAGTTTTGGACGAGAAATTTGATGCGAGTTTTCTTGAGAATCTTTAGCCAGTTGAAGGAAAATTTGAAAAGTTTTCAAGATTGATGTAGGTAGGTTGTTTGCGATATTTTTGATGAACGAGGGAAAAATTTGACTTTTTTAAATTCGATTCTGATGGAAAACGAAGTATTTGAGATTTGATTATTGAGTATATTGAGATTAAATTTTTTTTTTCTTTTTTTCGAAAGAATTATTTTAGGAATAATGGATGATCGATTGAAGATAATTTTGGGATTGAAATAGAGACAGATAAAAATATCATTAATTTTAATTCTAATCTTATAATGTATACGTGAAAATCTGTTCTGTCATCGTTCTTTCGCAAAATTGCTCGTTAAAATACAATTTCGAGACTTTAATTATTCACCGATTATGGATGGACTATATAAAATATGTTTGAAACGCAATTACGATTATGGAGTGCAGACGGTCTATAAAGTGTGGATGACGATCAAAATATAACGCAATTTACAGAGATTAAAAAGTTTGATGGATGCGAAAAATGATCAAAATAAAATAGAAGTTGGACTGGATTAAAAAGTTGACTGAATAGAAGATCAAAATACGATATAACTTGGAAAGATTAAAGAGGTTGTACAAGTTGATCAAAATAAGGTTCAACTTCTGAAGATTGAAGTTGCTGACATGAACATGTTAACGCGATAAATATATAGCATAACATTGAGGATGAACTTTGAACGTGAAGTGATTATTTTTAAAATGAATTATGTATTTTCTATTTTCTGTTCTTGAATATAAAATATTTCACTTCAACTTGAATATCTTTATTAGTAGAATAAATGAAATCATTATATTATAATTATTAAATTCATTTCTAACTATACAATATATTTTACATAAAAATTTCTAATATTGCATTTTTGGTATTTATAAATATTTTCCAATTCTGATTAGATATAATTAATAGGTGCTTATATCTGTCATAAGTGGTTCCAGTGATTATCATCAGATGTCTCTTTAACTTTTACTTTCTCGCAAGTATTTATCTTCAATTCAATTCTTATATACAAAAATTGAAAAAATTATAAATTATCATATTCCAAGTATCTGAGACAAGTATAGTATACCTTTTTTTTCCAGTTCACGTCTTTTTTGTCCCTCTTTCCATTCTTTCATCACTACAGCAATAATCCAAGAACGTGAACACAAAAAAGATAATATACAGACTCTCTTCAGTGTCTCATGAATTAATCATAGTAGTAGCCACTTCCTAATAAGCTACATTGAGATTTTATTTCTCGAAAAAGTACAAAATATACGACATGCTATATTAAGAATTTTAAAAATAAACTGCATCTAAGATTTCTATAATAATGTACATTGAAATTTTTTGGATCAAGAAACAAAATGTCTTGCATAGTACAAAACTTATTTTAAAATTTAAAAGATAGGTGTTATAAAGATTGAATATAATGAATTCCATCGAATTTTCCTCTATTATCTTTTCTATTATTTACTATTATTCACTGATTATTTCACAATGAACACTAATGTGTTATAAGCCACGAGTTTAAGAACCATTTCGATTCACAAAATTGATATCTAGTCGAGGTGATGGCTCGTAATGTGCAATTTGACAGAGAGCATGAGTGCAAAAATCCATTCGTGTCCGTCGTAAGTGTTGGCGATAATTTCGACGAAAAATCGAACGATCTTATCTTACGGAGGTTAGATTCTTCACCGTGCTTCTGCTATCGTAAAAAGCTCCGAGTCGGTAGGAGAAGATAAAAGTTCCGGTTAGCTAAATCGAAGTCGAATTTACCGCATCGTTCGATCTCTTGGTTCGTGCTTCGTGTGATATATCGCCCTTTCTGTGAGTTTCTCAATCTACACGATACATTTAAAATACAAAGAAAATTTATTGCTCGATAAAAAAATCGAAAATCGATTTTTCCTGATCCGATTTATAATTAAAATTGTCGAAAATAAGCAATCTATGAGCAAGAAGAAATTATATTTTCATCCATTCGAATTACTTTTTTATTCTTTTGGAGAAATTGAAGAGAATTTAAGAGAAGGAGTTTCGAATTTTACAAAAAGAAAACTTTACTTTTCTGCTAGTGGTAAAAAAAATATTATCATTTAAAAGAATCGGAAACGACAAATGACAATAAGTTTATCGTACTTCGAATAGATATATTTTATCTAACAAATTCTTTTTTATTTCTTCCCTCCCTTTTCTCCCCTTCTTAATATTTCTTTTTCTTCGCTCACAACTTCACCCCAACATTTAGATAATTTCATCGTGATTCTCATCTCGTTCACGCTAGGGAATTATATGTGCGAATTGCCTAAAGTTTAAGATTACACGAACTGTTAAACTTCGGGAAAATTCGGTGGAGATCGGGTGAGATCGCGATGTTCTCGAGATTATTTACGATGCAAAAGCTGGATAAACTTTCTCTTTATTTATCTCTTTTGAATTTTTCCAAATTCAAGAAAATTCTCACGATACAGAAAAGAAAATCTTACGTCTAGGGATCCCCAATGTTTCTAGTTACTTTTTTTCAAAACTCTTCTATGAATTCTAGTTACTTTGAGAATCACTTCAAATAAAATTTTTCTTTCCTTTTTGAAAGATCTGGATCTTTTTCTTTAAACTTTTCGAAAATTTTCAAAGGATTTATCCGAATATGAGAAAGATTTTATCTGATCAAAATTTCCTCTCAATATTCTATAAATACCATAAGTATCATCATGTTCCACGTAATGGTCTCATTTTATCTCGTTGACCAACTATTCAAGAATACAATATATATTTTCTCGTAACTCATATATTTTTTTAACTTCATATAAATGTCTATATATATATATATGTATCCATCCACGAATCGATAAAATTTTCGTGAATTCACTGGCTTAAAAAAAGAAAAAACAGGAAAAGAGAAAAAATGGATCGAAGTTTCCTCGACTAATAGGAGTATAGTACACGAACGTTCTTCCTGGATAGCAGGAAAGCAAATCGAACTGGTTGAACCGGATGATGAGATTGGGAAAGGAAATACTCGATATTTTACAATGCGATGGAGATGGACAGACGGACACAGAGAGAAAGAGTGAATGTGATCGCGCGTGTGCGAAATTACGATAGAATGTGGAAATAGAATTGAAAGAGAGAGAGAGAGAGAGAGAGAGAAATGAACGAGTGGGAGGAGGAAGAAGAGAACGATCGGTTTTCATCATCTGACCTGTTAACGATCCCCATTGAAGGATCAAAAGGTTAGAATGCTTCTTGGAAACATCGAATAGAATACTTTTGTCGAATACTTGAAGCGAGATGGGAATGGAAAATAAAGTTTTTCACCGTGGAAAGGAATCCACGTGAAAAGAAAGCAATTTAGTTACGTTTCTCTTCTCGGTCGGTATTACAGTACAATAATTCGACGAGAAAAATTTCCTAGATATTTCACCATAGATTGTGTAGATGTATTTATGGTTGGTGAATTTTTGTAAACTTTTTACTCGATAGTTTTTATTTAATTTCGTCGAATTCGAAGGAAGAAAAATTTTTTTTAAAATCTTTTTTTTTTTTTATTTCTTCTCGATATTTTTAGTAATCTTTATTGTAGAAGATTGAATCTTGAAAATATTGAAAAAGAATTTATTCTTTCATCACTTTTTAGAGTTAAGAAATGATTAATTTTTTATTAGCATAGAAGAATGTGATTCCTGTTTAAAAGTTAGAGAGAAATCGTTAATCTTCCTTAGGAGGATATTTAGGAATATTTATTTTCCCTTGCACTGCATGATGTTAATTTTTCATACGTATACAAAATATGTAGATAAATGAAAAATTAAATAAATCTTTAACGTTCATAATGGTAATCATGATTATAAATAGAGATAATTTGTTGCATTTTTTATCGCACCTTTAAAAGTAGATTCATCTCATTTCTGAAATCAAAATCTTGTAAATTGAATAGTAAATAAATTTAAACATCGCACAATTATATTTAGTATAGTAATCATTGTAACATAAAATAAAGCATGATGAAGACAAATTTGATGATGACAAATAAAAGCACGATCATAAATACGTATATTAAAAAGATTGGAAGATTAACGATCTTTATTTGTGTAAATAATTCATTTTCATCTCGCATTCAAATAATGTTTTTTTTTTTAAATTCATTATACATATCTTTCAAAATATTTCTTAATAATTAAGTTTCTCGAAGAGAAAATAAAATTTTAAAAAATTAAAATTAATATTTTTGCAAGAGCAAATAATTGATTAAATATATATGTATTTAAATATTACATGTAAAAAAATATTTAAATCCATTATTTGTCAATCTATTTTACACTTGTAAAAATGTTTAATTCTATAGAATTACAAATTTATTAAACTATCTTTATTATACAATTATATGCTTATATTTCGTTTCGAATTGTAATCTTCGCGAGAATATCAACAGCAACTTGATATATATAATTTTTACATTTATTTCGTATTTGAAAGAAGAAATTTTACTTAATTACTAAGAAATTTCAACAAAACAAAAATGTACGTAACAATTTCAAAAATAAAATCCTAAGAATCCTAAATATAATTCGAACGGTCAAAGATTCCCAAAATCCTTCAAAATAGTATGTATGCGATATCAGCGCCTCCAATGAGTGAAAAAGAAAGCTTCAGTGAGATTGAAACCCGAGTGTTAAAAATTGTTGCCGCGAATGAGGCAGAAAAAGCGAGAAAAATTAATCTTTCCCTCCCGACCTCTCAAAGAAAAAAAGAGGAAAAACAGGCAAAAACCAAGAAAAAAAAACAAAAGAAAAGAACAAACGAGAAACGTGAGAGAACGGAACGAAAGAATTTTGGCAGATGAACGAGCGAATGGTGGTAAACGAGAGGGAGAGAAAGAGAGTGAGAGAGGCAACCCGTCGGGGTTCTGTCTTCTTCGCAGGTTATTGGAGCTGTACCGTCGAGACACCTTCTCGAGCCATGGAGGATCGTTGGACAAGGATGCAGCTGGTGTGAGCGCGGCATCGACCACCTCAGAGTCTTTGGAGAGCAACGGCCTCGATACCGAGATACCAGCCGCTGCAAGAAGGCCTCGTAGCACTAGGGGCTCGCAAAAATGGAGTAACGTACGCGCCGTCATGGCGCTATATTCCTCCCTACGCAAGATTAAGAGGTACTCCCGCCATTGCTCGAATATGGACGGTAACCTCTGAATTGCACCTCTCTCACCCCCTCACTCCGCAGCAACTCGTCCACACGCCGGTCTACATGCCGGCCTACACAATCCGACACGTGTACACACACGATCGTTGTCGTCGTACATGGTACATAAGAGTGTTTCGCACGTTCGTCGCTACGAGGCGACTTCGTCTACTGGACACTGTGTAGCTGGGATGAATTACGTGGGTTTGAATCGTGGACTTGAAAAGGAACAGTGTTTTCTTTCTTTTTTTTTCTTTTTTTTTCTTTTTTTTTTGAAGAGATAGAAGTCTGGAGATTAAGTAAAGAAGGTTAGAAGCGAGACGACGTGTATTGGAACGTGTATATTGAGGTGATATATAATGTAGGAAGGAGATAGCATAGGTTATGTTTCTTTTATGTTGTTTTAATGTTCTATTTTGTTATTTGATTATTTTTTTTTTTTTGTTTCTTTATGGTAAATCATTGTGTGGTTCTTATTGAAGAAAGTGGGTTAGATATTCTTATAGGAAAATATTAAAATAATGTTATAGATTATCTTTCACTTATAGATCAATACTTTTCTTTAATTTATTTTATTACTTCTTTCTTTTCGATAATCTTCAATGATTTTTGTGATATCATGTATTAATTAAATATTCAAATTCTGTGCAAATGTGCACAATCCCAAACGAAAATTATAATATTCTGTATGAATTTGGTATTTTTACCTTTTAATTACTTTTGGAAAGCAAACTCGTTGAAAAGTTAGTTTCTCAAACAATTTCGAAATAATCCAGAATGTTATTTACGACTCTAAATACCAAGATCTATTTTCACCCATCATATTCCCCTAAATAATACATCTCTTACCTCGAAATGTTCCAACGTCTCTCGCTTTTAACCCACGCACTCAAATTATTCACATCCGGTCAAAAAGTCCACGTCGTATGCCATGATCCAACCACCCACACACACGCCACACGTCTTTCTCCCTCTTCTGGCAAAGCGACACGCGTTCATACAGTACTTACGTACACGTTCCACTCGTTCACTATGTAAAATTTCCAAGATTCATCAGCGTGGAAGCAACGAAACGGGTCACTCATCTTGGGAAAAAAACTGTTAAAAAAAAATTTGTTTCTCGTCTCTTTGATATACGCCAACACTTCACTTTGATACCATTGCAAAATCTTTGTGGATCTCTTCTTGATACCAATAATGAATGAATGAAATTGATGGTGGTTTTAAGTCTCGAATTTCTTTGTGCTCTCTATTGGTGAGGTTTAATTGGTGGCTCGTTCGATTTTTCGAATCGTGTGATTAAATAATTGATTGTGTTAATTGTATCCTATCGTGGTGTATTTTTAAGAATTAAGAATTTTGAAGTTTTTAAAAGTTATTCAGATTTTTGAAATTTTATTATTTCATAATATCGTTTTTATCGATATGTTCAATAAACTTGCACCAATTGATACGTTTTCGTTAAGAATATAAAATTTATACGGCATAGAATTATTTTAGATTATTTTTTAACGATAAAATTAAATTTCGATTAGTTTTAACATATTGAAATATATGATGATTTATATTTCGAATAATAAAATCACAATTTTGAAATATAACTAATAAGATTCTATATCTGATTCACGTTTCGTTGCTTTTTACCTCATGAATAATGAACGTTGATATAAAGGAACGTTGCACCGCACCAAAATAATGGCCAATCACTGATCAATTCTATCCTCTTTGATCTCTTCTTCTTAGCGTGTTCAATATCGATTCATCCACTAAATAAACTTTATTACAGATGACATAATGGCCGATCACTGTTCCTATTTTCAACGATCGTTTTAGGATTTGGATGAGAAAGAAATAAATCTTGTTCCTTCGAATTTTTAATTTTTTAATTCATGTGTAATAATTATATATGTCCATGACAGTGTAAAAGTGTAAAAATAGATGAAAAGAAATATTCTTTTTGGGATAAGTATAAATTAAAAAATTAATAAAGGCAATTTTTTTTAAATGATTAAGTAATATGTAAAAATTTACAATTATTATTATTAAAATTAGCTTATTTTAACATTTTAATTTATATACATTTGTAAATAATTATATATTTTCGTTTCAAGGTAATAGAGATAATATTTTTCTAAAAATAATTGACTTTTACCACTCCATCGAGTAACTCTGATACTTCCTATAACTATGTTCCAAAGTGCTATTACGGCTTACATTATGAAGTTTACAACAGTAAACGTGAAACTTTAATGGCAAGAACGTGAAGATCGTAAAAATCTCACGACGTGATCCAAGTTTCCTTGCACTCTCACAAAAAATCAAAAACTTAAAACCGTTTCAAATCTATCTACTACTGTGACAAACAAAATTATAAAATTTCTGTAATAATACATTCAAACAAATTCGAGGTTAAATCAAAATAAGAATTAAATAAAAACAAATAATAATTATTAATTAATCTATGATGAAGATTAAAATAATTTCTGTTTCCACTTATTACAATTTAATTTTTTCCACCAATAAAAAAAAAAGTGTATTTTGGAACTCGTCGCATAAATCATTCTCACGTCTTTATAGCGACACAAATTCAAGCATTGGTAGTTTAATATCCGAGAAAGAAGAAGAACAAGAAGAAGAAGAAGAGGCCAAGAGTTTACGATCGTTTTTATACGACGAAGGAACACCATAAACTCTCATCGTTGTAGTTTATCTTATCTTTGACATGCAACGTTGTTTTCGAGCCATCGAGGAGGGAGAAAGATGAAAAAGTAATTTTTAATGGACGAGCAACGGAAAGAATTTTTTTTTCTCTAGTAATTCTCACGATCCGTTTTAATTCCTGTACAATTAAAGTTTCCATGCGTACGACTCCGTGTGAGATTAGATTAGGTTAGGTTAGGTTTATTTGGAACGCTTAAATGTCACGATTATCAAGCTTGTACAATACACTTGAAATACATTTTCTTGAGACTATTCAATATAGTGAAATAGTGAATAAGTAATATATTCCATAATTCTGAGTTAGATCATCTGAAATATAAAATATATGATATTGCGCTTTTTAGATCTATTGTAAAATTTATTTAATTCCAATTATTGTGAATAATAGATACGTAATTTCATGCAATGTAAATATATAATAAACGTGAAAATTCCTATTAAATACCATTGATTGCAGATTATAATGTATTCGTTCAAAAACTGTGTGTACTCGGATAACAACTAATAATTCGATTTTATATAAATATCATATTGATAACGTATTATTAAACAATCTACTATACTATATTAATAGATTAATCTATTTTTTATATACATTTATGCATAAATTTTATATATTACATAGATTAATATCACAATAATGAAAAACGTGTTATTTTACTTAATGCATACTTAATGTCATTTGAGTCGTTCTAAATAAATTTCACAAATATCCACAAATCCTCGAAATTATTATCAGTTTAAATATAATTTAAACACACAGGAATGAAACTGGTAATGAGAATTTGGGTAGCAGGGAAGCGAAAAGAAGACGAAAAATAAAAACAAAGATAAAACCAAAAAATTAGTATATCGTTAGAGAACAATTGGAGAGAAATGCACGTATTGAAATTGGATTGCAAGCATCTTTGGCATTTGGCATGCGTTAACAAAGAGTTCCATAGAAGTTTGTTTCCTTTTAGTCATCACTTCATCAAAGAGACGACTACGTGTCTTCTGGCGACCTAATTCAAAAAAAAAAAAGAACGAAATAAAAAAAAACACGTTTCGATACGTGGCTAATCCGGCCAGAAGATTGCTTCTTTCACTTCCGTTTCCGGCCAAACTGCGTTTCCAATGACGAACTTTTAACGCATTATCGACCCAACACCCGCGTTTCAGTTCACCCTTCACCGAGTTTTTGAAATCAGAGGGCAAACGAATTTTGCAACAATTTCTTTGTCACAATTGAAGTAATTATAACCACGAGAGAGAAATTTAACGAGTCATATTGCGTGAGAAGAATTATTCCTCGATAGATGAATTTAGAAATAGTTGTTTTTTACTCCTTGTTTATACGAATTTGAATCTTGTTGATTTTATTGTTGGTTAGAAATTGATATGATTCGCAAAAAAGAATTTTTTTTTTGGGTAAATAATTCTATATTCACTTAATTTTTTTTAAATCCTTGTAATTATATTTATAAATGCATTGATCGAAAACAGATAATATTGGAAAATATTTAATTTGAGAAAATTCTTGTAGAATTATGTTGATTCGTTGGAAAATATTTTGGAATTGAAAAAAATAAATGTATCCACTGATAATTCCTTAAAGTTGAGTTATTTCTCTCTATATAAGTTTAATTATATTTTTGGAATCTATATATCCATAAAAAATAGAATATCGACAAAAATGAATTGATCGAGTTTTTTTCTACCATGGTTTTCTACCATGGAATGTGATCGATGATCGTTGGTCGGTAATGTATTAAAAAATTAAATAAAAGAAAAAAAAAAAAAAAAGAATCCTCGATGCACAGTACTACCTTTTGCATGAGAAGTTAGATTGCAAGATTACGTAGAAATTTGTATCGATACGTAGTTGCAAGGAATTTTTAAAATAAATCTTTCTATTATAGGCCTGTGACAAGGGAAATATAACATCGTATGCGATGGGTTGTGCACCGATTTTTCGAATTTATTAAATTTTCGATTCTTTTTTCTTTTACGAAATGTAAAGTATTTATTGACGAAAATTTTTATTAAAAATTCTTTTTTTTAAAAAAAAAATATAATAATAAAAGTAATAATTTTAAATTTTTGCGATAAGATTATTTCAAAAGAAATAAAATTTCCAAGAATACCAAGTATGACTAATTAAAAAAATTATATTTATCACAAAATAAGTAAAGATATGTGAAGAAGAAACGAAAATTTTTAAAAAATGGGTACACAACATTTCGCAGTAAAATATCCAAAAGTATATATAACAAGAATAAAAAATAAAAAAAATTTTCTAAAATAATTCCAGAAGAGGGTACGTCTCGTCTAAATTATCGAAAGAGAGATATCCCCTCTTCCAAACGTGTAATAACTAACTTCGTAGAAAGATAAACTGCTGAACATTCTGTTAGATTAGAATTCTCATCATAAAGATGGCGGTGCGCTGACCTTGATCCTGATCTGGCAATGCTGATGCTTGACGCCCCCAATTGCCTCCCTTCTACCAGCTCGACTCGAATTAGAGAAGAAAGACCCGAGATCCAATCACCAAAAATGTTTCTTGAACAACCAAATACACGTACATACACGACACTCACAAAATGCACAAAAGAATGCACACACACATACACACATACAGAGAAAGTAACGAATATACAACACGTGCATACACACACACACACACACACACACACTGAACATGGGTGTGTTAACGATTAAAAGAATGCGTAGTGGCATAATAAAAGTTTATTACCTTTAGTTTTTCTGCCTCTGTCTATATATAACGTACTTGAAAACTCTCTCGATGTTTCTGTCTCTGTCTGTTTGTCTATATCTGTCTGTCTGTCTGTCTGCCTCTGTCATCCATCTGATAACTTTAAAACTCGTTCTTTTACTCGATTCTCGCTCACTTCTTATTTCAACAATTCACCATTTAAATCTGTCATCATCATCTGTGATCTACTTACCTGTAATAGAGTTTAGAGAGAAAAAAGGAAAAAAAAAAAAGAAAAGAGCAAGAAAGAAAGAAAATGGTATGACGATAAATAGAAAGAATCGACGTTTCGTGAATGGCGTGTTTTCTTTAAATGGGTTTTTATTGTCGAATGGAACGCAAGTAGGATCTTTTAAATATGCCTGCTTGCAACAATACCATAGATATTTATATACAATATATATACATATATATCCATATAGCAAAATCGGTGTGTTGTGTGGAACGAGATGTTTTCAGAGAGATATGCTCCTTAGCAAGAGGTCTTTGCATCACGATTCATGCATGGGTCTTGGCAAGAAAGGTTACATCGAGCTTTGAAATCGAGCAAAAATTACTCGAGAAGTCGTTTAATTTTTTTTTTTTTTTTTTTTTTTTTTTTTTAATTTTCATTTCATCTCAATCGGTTGAGAGAAAACGAATTTTTTTATTTTCTTATTTATTTAATACGTAGCTTCAAAATTATACCTTTTATATCAAATTTATTTTAATGGAATCGGGATGAAAAAAATTTTTCTACTTTTCTTTTCTTTTCACTTCGGCTGAAATCTCATTCGTTCTTAAGTTTTCCAACGTGATTTCTTATTTCTTTTTCTTTCTTCCTTTTTGCACGATCGATTCGATCGTGGTTAGTTAATTGTTCGGTTCCGTATTTTTATGAGGGGGAAGAAAGAAACGATCATTTCGGAGGAGCTGGTGACTTTAATTAAAAGTAGTTTGTCTACATTTGCGGAAGAGCTTTTAGAATTCTTCCAAAGGCATCCATAAATTCTATGGAGAGGTTAGAACTGTTTTAGGAAAAGCGCCCCCTATTGACCTGAATCTGTTTTATCGTGTTTGACGGGACGCTTAAAAGAAGTAAGAGTAAAATTTAAATTTATTTGTTATTTATAACAATAATTATATCGTACTTTTTTATAATTTTTTTTTTTTAATTCTGAATCTATATCTCTTATTTTTTTCTCTTTTTTTTTTTTTTTACAATTTCCATTCTTCTTACTTTTCGAAAATTTCTCTGTACTGAACTGAATTTCTCGAAAAGAGAAAATTTCTCGCTTTACTTTCCTCTCAATTTTCCGAAAAACACAATTAGTCCACTTACCTACAATATTTCTATTGTCAATTTCTAATACTAGCATAATTCTAACCTAAATTCACTCTTTTTTTCAAAATTTAAAACTTTTTCAAGAAGAATGCAATTTTTCTATATCCTTGTAATATTTCTAATCCTACATTCCAATCCTACACATAATCCCAATTTCAAGTCACGATTACTATTTGTCACCAAGAAGATGGAGTCCCTATCTTACAAGTCCCTAGGAATCACGTGACTACCTCCATGGCGCTCGAGCGCCAAAATGGCGCAGGCTTACCAATTCACATCCTAACCTATTTCACACGTTCCTAATGCTCAGCTAACAATGAGAAAATTCGCTGGTTGGAGATGCTGGTTTAAATGAAAAAGAACTGTGATGAATTCAATATACAATTATATTTTACAAATGAACACTACGATAAATGAATTTAATATTCGTAAATCATTGAAGATTATTAAGTTCTAAGTACAAAGATCTTTTTTGTAATCAACTTTTAAATACTTCTCGTACAAACTTACTAAACTTAAGCGTAAGAATCTGCAGAAATTAAATTTCATTCGAACAATCAAAAACAGATTACAAAAACGAAAATAATCCACATGGACAAAAATCGAACCTTGAGCATCGTCCTTTGATCTTCACCAAGTCGAAAAGTTTATTCTCCTCCCCCTCCACGAGAAAGAGCGCCACGGTGGTAAGCACACGGTGAACAACACTTCCACCAATCCATCCAATCCTCCCCTCATCGTTTCATCCCCCATCTGGCGATCTACTCCTCCTCTCTTTGTTCCCAGAACGAAGAGCAATCAACGTTGGATGAAGCTGCGCACCACCGTCCAATTGTCATCCGCCATCTCGACGATCCAGAAGAAACCTCCGTTGAAGCGGGAGGACTCGTTCCTGAAGAGGTTCTCGACCAGGCAGATACCCGAGAGCCAGGAGACGTTGGACACGGGCGAGGGCGAAGGGGACGCGGCCGACGACAAGGATTCGAGCGGCAGGCGACGAAGGAGGCCGCGAAGGTTGCAGAGGCCGCCGAAAACCGTGGTCAACCCGGACGAGAACTTTTATTATTACTGGCTGATGCTACTCTCCGCTTGCGTGTTGTACAATCTGTGGACGTTGATCGTGCGCCAAAGTTTGCCCGAGTTGCAGGCGGTCGCGCCCGCCACGTGGCTCGCCTGCGACGGTTTCACGGACCTGGTCTTCTTTCTCGACGTTGCCGTGCAATTCCGTACCGGTTACCTCGAGCAAGGTTTGATGGTGTACAACAGCAAGAAGCTGGCCGGCCATTACCTCAAGTCGAAGTCGTTCGTGCTGGACCTGCTGGCCCTGTTGCCCCTCGACCTCCTCCAGGTGAATCTGGGCAGCAACCCGATGCTCAGGTTCCCGAGGTTTCTCAAGATATATCGGGTGTACAATTATTACTACATGGTCGAGTCGAGGACGGTCTACCCGAATCTGTGGCGCGTGTTGAATCTGATACACATACTGCTTATACTGGCGCACTGGTTCGGCTGCTTTTACTACTTGCTCAGCGAGGCGGAAGGATTCCAAGGGGACTGGGTCTACCCGTACAGACCGGGGGAGTACGCGACCCTGACCAGGAAGTATCTCGGCTCGCTCTACTGGTCCACCCTCACCCTCACCACGATCGGCGACCTACCCACGCCGGAGACCAACGCCGAGTGAGTGATAATGTCTCTACGACTGTACACGCCTCTTCTTCTATTTTGTTCTTTCCTTTTCTTCGATTTTGGTTTTGGTTTTTTTTTTTTTTGGTCTTCTTGCGTGTCAGGTGGGTGCGAGAGAATTGTTTCGTTATCTCTTGATGATGGTTCGAGAAAAATGTCTTTTTAGACGAGGTTGGCTTGAAAGGGATAATTATTGGATATTTTATGCATTTTTCACAAGTTGAATAATTCAAGTTAAGGTTAGGTTAGATTGCGCAGGATGATTCTGGCAAAGTGTTTGTTATGTGAGAAAGTAGTTTCAAATCGAAGTTGTACAGTAAAGAATAATTATTACGTTTGTACGATTACATTTGTGCATTTTGTACAAGTGTTTAATTTAAGTTAGAATGAGTCTAATTAATTTTGCCTAAATTTCTCGTAAAATACTTGTTACAAAAGAAAATATTTCGAACAAAAATTACAAAAAAAAAGAATAACTATCACAATAATTTTAGGTTAGGTTAGACAGGATGATTGTTTAAATTCGTATAGTACGAGAAATGGATAATTTGTACGGTTATTTTATGCCAAGTTGGATCAAACTACGTGAGAAATAGAACGATTTAATAAACGTACCATGCCACAACGATTATTCAACAACTCGATCTCACAGAAATCGAATATATTTAAATCCACAAATTTCCAGAAACATTTTACATAGTTTGAACGTTGCCAAGTTCCAAATATATCTGCACCCATCTAACACGCATATTTTTCACACATATATATATATATATATGTATATCTCTTTATACATCTTCTTTTATCTCTTTGTGGGCTTGACAATTCTTTCGCCTTTTACACATGCAATACTCTTGTACGTGTCTGTTGTCCGTTTGCTCGCCGGTTAGACGGTTATTCGTTCAAGTGTTCGCCACACAAGGCGCTGCCATCTCTAACTAGATATCACCCAATCGACACTTGAGACTTGAGAGAGAATGGAATACCGCAGCGTCGTTGATTTGTACACAGGCACAGTCTGTCCGATTTACACGGATACTCTGCACCGGTTTTTGACAAAGCGAAAACCGTTTCCAATATGGGTAGAAACGGTAAATTCTGAGAATTTGCGGGTGATTTTTGACAAGTTGGGAGTTTGGGGAATTCGGGGGAGGGGGGGGAGGGAAGTGGGTCGCGGGGAATTTAAATTAGGTCGGGATTCGAGTCGTGTTGAAATCGGTGTTTGTAGCGTAAGTACATCGAAATAGGATTACGATTGGAAGAGAACAGAAAGATAATCCTGGAATAAATACATCCGCAGGAGAAAACAATTTTTCATGCGTATTTATTTTTTTTTTTTTTTTTTTTTTTTCTGTTTCATCCGAGAAAACTTTTCAAACTTGGACAAAGTATCGAGCGATTTAATATAGTTACGGAAGGATTTGTTTTTTTTTTTTTTAAATATTGGACAATTATTATTTAAATTGAATTTTATTTCGGCCTCGTTTTATTTCTCCATTCGGATATCTTGAAAAAGATATACTAGAAGAAATGATCAAATTTGAAAAACAATCGATCTGTCATAACGAATCGCACGATATTCCATCATACATTGTCCTCGCTATATAACGTATATTTTTAAATCGGGCCACCAAGCCAAAATATTAGAATTAATTGTTTCGATTCGTTATTCGAATTACTAAATCCTTTATATCGTGTATAAAGTACGTCCAATCGATGCATGCAAATATCGTGCAACTCGAGTCTAACTGATCGAGACGATGGCAAATATCATTCGAATAATCGACAAATCCGGACGAAATATCCAAGAAATCGGTCGTGACACTCCTTCAAATACATTTCCTCGAGTTGAGGGGGGAGGGGAGGGGGTAAGCCTCTTTAGAATCGTGAAAAAGCAAACAAGCTCGACTAAGCTCGGATAATCGGATAGAGCCGATGAATATGGAAAAGTAAATCCAACTACCTATTCTCTTTCCCCCCCCCCTCCCCCTCCCCCCTTCGTTTGTTTCCCCCTCTTCTTCCTTTTTCTTTCTTCTTTTTTTTTTTTTAATTTTATTTCTCGTAACATCGTTCTCGTTCTCTCTCGATCGAGAGAATCGGCTTTCCCGATAAATTCGATGACAAAAAAAGGATCTGATAACGTCGCGTGTTCGAATTTTCCATTAATTGCTCTTAAACGTTTCAGTTATAAAGTGGAGTAGTTAGTGGTGAGTGAAAAAAAAAAAAAAAAGAAGAAGAAGAAGAGGGAGGGAAATTGAATTAGCTCGCGCGTATAAATTTCGATCTGTTAAAGGCGATGGAGGCAAATGATCAATTTGCGTCCGCATTCGCGATAAAGCGAATTCGAGGATCGCATAAAATGAGAGAAAAATATATCTGTTATAAAAAATATTCATTTGTGTAATTGGATAATTGAACAATGTTTGTTTATCCGTTGCTAACGAGTTTGAATTAACGATTCGAAAGAATGTTCTTGTGAATGTTGAGCGTTTTAATTCTTGTTCTGTGAAATAAAGGTGACGTTATCGATCGAGAAATAAAGTAGAGTTACCGATCGCGTCGAAAAGAATAAAAATTAGTGATATATGGAAAAAGAATTTTATATGATAATGAACGTATAATCGGATTAAGAAATATAAATCGAAGATTTTTTGAAAATTAATTTCAATCAATTTTGTTATTATTCTTACTGTCGTTTAATTTTATAATAAGAGTAATAAAGATCGATGTTGAAAAGGTAACAAGGATCGATCGAAGGAAGAGGAATAAACTGTTGTAATATGTAATATACGATGAAAGTTCCCCTTTATACGGTTAAATGTGGTGTCTTTTAAGTGGTGCTGCCATTCTGAAGCAATTCAAAAGGCTCGAAAGAAAGTAGTACTTACAGAATTTTAACCAGGTTCTAAGCATATTTTATTCACTGCAACATTATAACGTGAGTGGGGCTGCAAAGTAGGGGAGAAGTTAGAAGAACTTGAAGAGTTAAAGACGACCACTTTAAATCTGAAACATCTAATAGTAATCTGGATGTACCACAAGTTTCCTCATTTTCACAATTCATTTTTTGAGGTTATGAATCGAGACGTGTTATAAGTAATAATTAATTGATATCAAAATCGTCTTCAAAATCATTCATAACGTGTTTCTAACCTATTTCGAAACTATGCATAATTTTTTAGTATAGTTTATTTTCCTCATTTGTAATAATTATAAACGAATATATGCATAGAATGCAAAAGATGGAAAAGTGAATAAAAAAAATTGCAAGTCATAAAAAGTATTATTACATTAATATTTGTTGGCGATATTTCTACATATACATATACACACGACGTTAAGTGAAACTTGAATATATCGCGTTGAAAATTTAAAGTCGACATCTTTGCCTTTCGAGGTTAAGTCGGGCTGCCACTTTGGACGCGTGACATAATAAGATTTTCTAGCATGTTGCCGATAGCTTAGGGTCGCGTACATTCGCTTTTCGTCGTCTTGGAAACCATTTCCCCTCGAAATATTCGTCAAAATTCGTCAGAGTGATGCCTGCGTGCGAGCGATCCGTCCAGGCATCGAAGGAAAGCGCGGGAAAATTCAAACGCAGTTTACAGTGACGTTAATAAGGGATACGATAATATCGGTGATGCAACTATTCTCGAAACATTTCTAAGGCTTTTCCACGTGTCAAACTGTCTTTAGGTAGGGAGAAATGTGATTACTTGAATCACAATGTGATTCTTAAGTAATAATCGTTGTTCTTACATCGATTTTATTTGAATAATTCGATCGAGGATAAGAGAGTATATTGCATATACTTGATCGTAATAAATATATATTTATCAATTGTTTCGATGACTATTATCAATTTTAAAATAAATTCGACGAACAAAATCAATCTAATTTTAACGTAATTAACAACGATCCATCTCTCGATTTTTAATTCCATAACGGATCGTATTTAAAAATCTAACGGATCAATTTTTCATATGGACAGTTTAGCCGACATGGAATCGAATTAGAAGCATGATATTTGCGTGGAATCCAATTAGCATAATCCAATAAGATATTCCAATATCTTTTTCTACTACGATTTGACTTCGTCTTATCGACGTCTTATATATTTCTTTTCGCATATTTTGCTTTTCGTATACGATTTTTTATAGATATTTATCTATAGTACAGGAATTTTTTTTTCTGAGTATATTTTCTTTGCCTTTCTCCCCTTTTTTTAAACGAAGAATTAAAGATCGAACAAAAGAATTTTTCAAACGGAACAATCAAATTTGACCATCTTTTGTTTTTTCTTTACTATTTGCCTTTGTGCTTTTGCGTCTCTTTTTGCCATCGTGTATCGCGAATTGAAGTTAATTCACTAATAGAAAACACGAGGACGTGAATGAAAGGAGCAAAAGGAAAGATCAGAAACACGGCGAGTTCAATCTGATAAAGTAAGACAAAAATGGAAAGCTACGATACGTTGGAAAAGTAGAATAATTCAATCTGAAAGTGAAAGAAATAAAAGAGATAGGTGTCACAAAGGGATGAAAAGTCCATAAAAGTCCAAAAGGGTCAAAATTTAAAAGATAGAGAAAAGGGGGGGGAGGAGGAAAGGAGTAAAAATGCAATAAAAAGAAAGACGAAAGGAAAGGATAATTATACAATTCTCTACAATTCCTCTTCAAATTTAACCTTAATTTTAATGCCCATTTTATAAAACTCATTTTCCCAATTAATCTTCGTCGTTTGTTAGGAAAAATTAGCAAAATTAAAAAAGTGTAAAGAACAAGTAAGAATTATTAATACAACATTCTAATAATATACATCGAGCTTCTAATTTAGAATTCAGATTCGATGGTAATGTAGGCAGCCACCTACGTCAAAACCCGACCTGCAACGTAACCCCAAACCGAATAACTTCCAATTTATATTTCAAAAACTGTCACAAAAGCGCAAATATCAACATTTTCTATCAATTAATACATCTTTTCTCCTTTTTTTTTTTATTCAACTTTTCAACATACAATTAACATACAATTGAGAGATGGCTGAAGATTTCTAAAGGTTAATTAGAGGAATGACCTTTACCTAACGTGTATCAAGGTCGAGATCATCATCGAGCCGATTTACCTGGGAGAATCTCGAAAGGTCATATACGGGATGAAAAAAGAAAGAAAAAGGAAAAGTCGTTTGGAAATAAACCACGGCCCTTGATCCCCCTCTTATAATTACACAAAAATGCATTTTCGAACGTGTGTAAGAAGTTTCTCTTTTAAAGGTGGCCGGTTCTTTGTCAAAAATCAAACGAGAACATCAGTGAAATCCATTAAAAACCTTAACGTAATTCGATTATAACGACAACGACGAATCGCGTATACACACAAACAGCTAAACTAACTTCCTCGCGTATCGTCGCTCACGAATTGCAGAAACGTTAATTTTAAAAAAAAAAAAAAAAAGGGGGGAGGGGGGGAATAGAAAAATTGGGAGAGAATCGTTAGAAGAAACGAAAAGACACGCGGGATTCCATTTTCTCTTAAGGAAGCTCCAAGCTCCCTTAGCGAACCAGATAGATGCCTAGGAATTAGACTCGTGAAGCGGCCTTGTTGTTGTTGTGTTGGCAGAGTCGTAGCGGGCGGCAATCCCCGGAGCCTCGCCCGTCGTGGCCGACTGTCCCGGCTTCTGCAGTTCAAGCATAACGGAGGGTATCTGTATCGTTTCCAGAATTCAAATAAAACGAGATCTGTGCAAAAAAAAAAGAAAAATGCGAAAAGAGAAAAATTCGAGAGAAAAAATACGGAGGGGGAGGGGAGGGGGAGGGGGAATAGGATTTCGAATTTCGAGAAGAAAAAAATAGATCGAGAGAGAGAGAGAGAGAGAGAGAGAGAGAGAATGGAGAAACGATCGTGAAAACGTGGCGGTAAACTTGCGATTGAGATTGAACGTTGGAACCATCGTGTGTTGCGAGAGACGTAAGAGTGAGAGAGAGAGAGAGAGGGGTATGAAACGAGGAATGAAAGTGACGGGAGAGCGATTGGTTTCGCGAACGTGAGGAGAAAGGTTGATTGGGCGAAGGAGAAGGCGAGTGCGTGAATGGTCGATCGAGAGGAATCGATGGAGGAGATGCGATTGGTACGTTCGAATTTCCCGCGCGAGTAATGGCGAAGCCATTTTCTTTTTTTCGGATACAAAGGTATAAATTTTTCATTTGCCTATACTTTGGACTTTCTTCCAATGTGGATGTGATTTTTTTTTTTTTTAGGGGGGACTCGCGAGTTTGTTTTGAAGGACTGATAGGAAGATTGTTTTTAAAAATTACGAATTAATATGGATCGATATTGAACGAATATTTCAGAAATTACATATTTCATACCTCTTTGGCATTGATTTAGGATTGAAAATTTGTCTTCTAGGATTCAATTTCTTTTTTCTTTTTTTTTATTCAACTAGATTCAGATATTTCAATATTGCTCTACTTCGATAATCGAAGTATTTTTCTCCTCCGATTGTATTTAAAATACGTTTCAAAAAATTATATAACTAAAACACGTGATACAATTATCTCTCGTGTGCACCACATTTTTTCAACATCCAATGTAACGCATCACAGCGTTCCAAAAAAATAGAATCGGACTGGCTTCCATTCTGCTTTCCACCGTCGCGATTATCAACCGCGTTATAAAACAGGTAACCTTGTCTCGTGAACTCTTTTTCCAACGTTTTATGATAAAATTCAAAAAAAAAAAAAGGGAAAAACGAGAGAAATAAAACACCATCGTCATCCTCGATCACAAATAAAATATTAAAAAAGAGATTATTTAAACTACTAAAACTATTTAACCAAAATCATTCATCAAATTTCTTAACTCTTTGTGTCAATATCCTCGGTCAAAGCTAAATATCCATCGCCACAATGTGTATGTATAAATATATTTACCAAAAAAAAAAAAAAAAAAAAAAAAAAAAAAAGTACCCTAACTCCCCCAATCGGCGGGGCGATAACCGAAATTCGTTATTCACACGCGGTTGAATTTACGCGTGGCGCCTGGGGGCGGCTTTCACGCAAGCAAATCAGAGTATTATTCATGTCCCGTTGGCCGGGTGAGCCTTTGACGACGGGACAAGGGGCGGCAAAGCCGGCAATTACTCTTTGTCCGGGGGAAGGTATCGGTAAATAGGTGTCGACGGTGCACCGACACGAGCGGAAACGCCTTCTCCTATCTCTCGCGTATCTCCTGCGTGATCGATGAAACCGGTTTCCACCACGCAATAGCCGCGGATCGATCGCAGGACGAAGAGAGAGAGAGAGAGAGAGAGAAAGATAGAGAGAGAGAGAGAGAGAGAGAGAGTCGGTACCACC